TCCAACCTTAATGATTCTGTGATTCTATTTTAGTCTATCTAAATGGTCAACAGACAGACCTAAGTCTTACGTGGCCAACAATATAAACATAAGAATGAAACACCCTGTTCTATGAAGATGTTAATCTTTTTCAATACACTGAAGCGAGATGCACTAAAGAAAACTGAAAAGGGGAAAAAAGCTGTCTTCAGGAGAGAAGGGCATAACTTTTAGTTCAGGGATGCACCACTGAATAGTGCAGTATGAGCATTGAAGTTACTGAATTTCAGAGACCTTTGAAAGATATGACTAATGAGCATGAGCTCAAAGCTGATTTTATGGTGTGACTGACAGTTGATGGCATACTGAGTTTCACAGTGACAGAAAAGACATTGCAAATCCTACTTCCTTGGAATCACCTGAATTATATTCAATACAACAATAAAACTCATCAGGTACTTTAGAAAAGGTAACTGCTCATACAACTGAGAACACTTCTTAGCATTCCAAAGACTGTTAACAAACTCAATTTCTTAAACTTAAAAAACTTTAAAAGTTTAACTTAAAATGTAGAAGAGACAGATGAATTTTGCTCCCTCTGTTACAGTTTCAAAACTATTTTTAAAAAAAGATTAAGAATGCCGATATAAGAAAGGGTACTGGTAAAGTATTTTCTTAGTCTTAGAGCATTAATGTCTGTGGTATTTGGGAAATGACAGATCATGACCGGTGCACGTTGCTGCAAAATATCATACATCTTGTTTTAATTGCAATTGTGAAACATCACTGTGTAACAGCACAAAATATGTACACAGTGTAGCTGTTTCTGATCTCATAAAATGAACTGCAAAATGATTTACACTAATTAGAACATTTTTTCAAGTCATGTGAAAATAAGCACTTCTATGTGCTTATTTTATAGCAATCAGTATCATGCCACAGTGAACACACCACACTTCAATTAAAACTTTAAATTTTTCAAATTACATTACAAATAATAATTTCTTTAAGTACACACAGAGAAAGTGTCTATAAGCCTTTACCTGAAAGCGTGTCATAAAGAGCAAAACATTTTGAACCGCAATTAATGCATGCTCTCACCTTCAGTGGAAGTCTGGAGTTCTCAAAGGTCTTTGCAATGGCAGATAAAATACCACACATGAGTGCAGAAATTAGCATCATCACTCCAACTGCTGTTAACCAGGACATACTGCAAAAGTAGCATAAACTTTCTGCCGATGTGCATACAATGACGTGAACTGCACACAGCATCAGACACATCAAGTAGAACAGCAGAGAGAATAGTGGAGGGGAGAGGGGCACTTCAAATTCTGCCCGGCTGCTGAGGGCTTTTGGAACACTGAGCAAAAGCAGCAGCAGAACCTAGAAAAAAGTAGAGAATTAATACTTAAAGAATTGGGGTTAGCTAAAACATACAGTGAGAATTCACACAAAAGAATCATACTGTTGTCATCCATGTCACTCTGCTAGTATACATACTTCATCAAAAAAACTGTGAAGAACTATGCTGGATTTTTTGTCCCCAGTAAGATATTACCATATAAAATGAGAGAATCAAAGATTGTGTTTTCATTTATTAAGGGCTCGGACATGCAAGTTACCAGAGTTTAATAAAATACCATGTGCCTCCTCACCTGTGGTGATCACATGCATGATCTCCATTCCCTGCAAAAGTAAGAGCTTTAACTCCCAATACCAAAATAGTTCCTAAGCGAACAAATTTGACCCATTATTTGTCACCCGTAAATGCCTAAAGTTATATACATATTCTGCCAAAATATAAAAGACCATTTATCTCACAATGTGTGAGATACACACGCACAGAGATCCTGCTGAGTTAAATAGCTTCCCAGACCAGGGCAAGTTCTTATACTGTCACACAAGTGTATGCTGCATTTCAAGCTTATCAGTTCTCCTGGTATTTATTTTTTTGTACCTCTCATATTAATTTGACTTACTAGTTTTACTTTTGCTTTGCTCTAACCTTCACACAGATCAGGCAGAATCCCAAGTTTCCTCTCAGGTAACTGTAGCAGTGCAGAATAATAATATGATGAACCATTTCTGCTACCCATGTACAAACCTTCACAATTAAAGGGAAAATTCAGTCATGCTAAAATGCTTTGCAAGGGGCACGGAGGGAGCTTGGACTAGACTGAGGTCAATCAGCTTGTGCTAGGGCAAGATTAAACCAAATCAAAATAAAAACAACTATATCAGATCACTGCCAACCTGCAATCCTTCACAGTCACTTCTGAAGACCTCTGCCAAAATTTCTCCTACAATGGAGTGAGCTACAGTAAAGTAGAGCAAAAAAATCCAATACACTGCAGTAGTCTTCCTTCTTCTTCATATTCTACTTCACAAATTTCACTTGTTATGAAAATATGAGGTTTCACAGTATCAAACTGGCTTAGGTCTTACATTTTAACACAGTATTTACAATTAAAACAAAGACAACACTCATGATAGGAAAAAGCTCAAATTGTAGTTATCTTCAAATCTAAATTTAGCTGTTTTGACCAAATGCACTGTTATCAGTTCATGTCCCAGAAGTATTGTCCTCATCTGAAATACAGGATAAATGGCATTTATAGTATGGTGTAGTTTGAAGTTACCTACGAGATTCCCTACCCTTATTTATTCAATGAGAGTGGAAAACAAGTATTTTGGAAAGCAAGGCAGTTTCTTGAATATTGCACTAGAGAAAAGAAAAAACTCCAGCTGTTTTGCACCAAGTCTTACAGCGATGCTGAGAAAGCTCTTCTCAAGCAAAATTTTCATGGTTAGTAGCTGTATGTTTCTTTTGATGAAGGCCCATTGAGTAAAACACCAGAGATCTGTTTTGTAGAAATAGTAAGCAACCTACGTTGCGGCGGGGGGGGGGAGGCAGAAAAAAAATCCAGTGCTTCAGGACCAAAAATAACTGTCAAGAGCTTGTATGCATCAGTTCCCAAAACAAAAGGAAAAAAAAAAAAAAAAAGCACTTCAGCTTTGAGCTTAGCTTTGTCCACCTCCAGATTTGCCATATGTAAAGCAGGAACAGAACCTATCATCTCATCTCCCAAGGGCAGCATGGAACTAACTCCTGTGAAGGGGCCAGCAGTGTGATAAACCCCACTGAGCAGTCTACCAGAAAGCCATTTCAGATGTACTCTGTACACAGAGAAAAGTGCAGATGAGACGAGGCATAGAGTCCTGCCAGGACAAAGGGGACTCAAATACTAAATAGCTGCTCATGTACTGTTACCCATTCCACTCACTGAACAGGACCAGTGCTACAGCAACTACACAGTCTTGTACAGCACCGCACATATGCAAGGACCAAATGAAGCTTGTGAGATTTATTACCACCCAAGGGCACAATGCTTACTGTTACAAAAGTTGACACTCGTGTAATCTAAAAGGTCAGTGCAAGCTTCTGTAAATAAAAATTCATTGTCCAGGCACGGTACCCCTTCAGCATGGTTCTCAGAGTATTACCACAGAGGGCATTTCCAGCATTTGAGACTTGCCCAATATATCAATTGCAGAGAACCACTTAAAATTCCAGACACGGGGTATCTTATCTTTATTCCTACATGAGATATGAAGTGGCAACCCAGCACCTTACAGCAAGTATTTATTTTAAGGCTCTACACCTATCAATACAAAGAACAGTTCTTGGAATTACGAAGATTGCCCACACAAGGTATTGCCTGTTCTGAGCAGCTACACAGCAGCTACGCAGCAGCTGAGCAGCCACACTCACTGTTAGATAAAGAGGAACAGCTGGGAACTTACTTGTCAGATTTTTTTTTCCCAATACAGTAAGGGTACTCAAAAAGTAGGCTAGAAGGCTAACTAATATGGGATTAATTTAAGTTACAGCACATATGCACATTTACTGTAACTAGCTAGACCAAAACATAAGTAGTTTATATCAAAACCTCTCTTGAATCATTTTAAAGGCCAAGTTATACTTTAAAAATAATATTAACCTCATCCAAGCAGAAAGTCAGCCAGCTCTGAGCGTTCATACTTGGTTATTCTAAAGACCAGTAAGAGTATACACTACGTAGTTAAAAACCAGAAACTTCTATGTTTGTGCACTTAGCTTTTTCACAGAAAGATGTATTTCCGTACCTCCATAATGATCACAGTCCCCACCATCATCGAATACATGTCATATTGTGCCACTTGTTTGCTTAGTGAAGAGCTCAGAGTCTTCAGGGCCTCCAAATATTGCTTCAGGACCTTTTTGCCAAGATTTAAGAGTATTTCTGAATTATTCCCCTCTAAATACAGTTTGATCCAATTACCATGGGACTTTTCTGCTATCTTAAAATGTTCATATCCAGGATCTAGGATGGGGGAAGAAAAGAAAAAAAAAAGGGGGGGGTAAAATGATCCATGAACAAAAGAGGATTAGTTAGAGATGTGATTTTTGTATCTGCTTGTATAGTGTTAAAAAAATTGCTACGGGGGCTGGCAATTTTTTCACACCTAGAAAGTTACATTATCTTCCAGCAGCAAGACCATAATGAGCCAGTAACTCAGAATAAAAGCAATTAATCCCTAACCTGATAAAAAGTCAAGACCTCTAAAAGTGACAAATGTATTAAGACATCCATTCACTCTGACAAAGGTTTCCAAGGACAAACTTACTCAAATGCTTTAAATTCTGAAAAAAAAGTCATGTTTTCCACTGGAGCCACTCATTATCCAGGCCATATTGTACAAGCCAAGTGGGAAATGACCAAATAGTTGATCACTGGAGGAAACATCAAAGGACACACACACCATATTGGGGACCTCAATTTTGGTGCAAAGCTAACGAGAGTCAGTTGGTAACACAAAGTTAAACACGCAGGATGTGAGATTTTGAAGCAGTAATAGAAAAGTTATCAGCTGAAGTGCAGAGTTTAGCTTCAGGCTAGGCATTTGGACTATTGAGCTGGTGCAAAGCAATCCTCAGCCGTGAAACTTAGTAATTCTGCTACAGTGTAAGGATAGCCTGTTGTCTAACAATCAAAAAACAGAAAACCTGATGCTGCCACCAACCTATAGAAGCAAGACTCTTCTGGCAGAAGGTGATTTCATGATGGCCTATCTATATCTAAAAAAATTCTGACTTGAAGAAAAATAAACAAAAAACCAAAACAAATAATAAATTAAGAAAACCTCAGAAAAAAAACCCAGCCTCCAGGACACTTATCTGTTGTCTATACCTAGTTAACGTTTTCTTGTAGAAATGTAGTTTTGATTAAGTCTTCTGATAAATATATGTATAAATGGGACTGCAGGTGAACACTGGCACCACATATGAAGACTGTGGTCTACTTTCAGAACTGAGGAGGAAAAGACTAGCACTACACTATGTCCCTGAAGAAAGTAATTTTAAATGAACCATTGAATTCTGTGGGCTCAGGTTTTAATGTCAGTATGCTTTTTAATATAGAAACAAGAGACATTCCAGTTTCTTTTCTTTCTCTCTTATACTGTAAAAACACATTTGCATTACTCTATTCTAAATTTATTTTAAAAGCATGAATGAGGACAACAGGAGACACAGGAAAGAAGCGAACAGCCAAATCCTACATTTTAGGAGTCCTTTCCAAATACAGCAGCAGTAGCTTTTCTCCTACATATATTTCACCTCACTGGTTATTCCACAGAATCCTTACTTTACACCGACTGTTCTGGTCATACACGCCAAAGGGTAGGTGTGGAGAGAAAATGACTCAAGTCGATTCAAAGGACACTTGAAAGTACTGTTTTATTCTCCCATCAACTACCGTTGATTTTCATCATCAACTTTCCCATTACTAAACATTTACACAAAAAGCTGCAGCACAAAAAGCTGAGGTTTGACAGCCTTTTTATTTCCCAAAAAGATATATTCAGCAGTGACAACAGCCAGATTCTGCAGGCAAAAACAGAAGAGCATCATTTTGTCCACACATGGAAAAAACCGTAAACACTCACTACAAGCATAAAGGAAAAAAAAAATAACAAATTATCACAAAATTCTTATTGTGGGTCCTACATGCACCTGAAAAGCATTCTATTCACCTCATGTAAGTTTAATTTCAAAAGCATTTATTTAAAATAAAACAGTTAGGTCAGCTTGTGTTTTATTGCAAATGTGGAACATGGTCTTGCTCCTGAAAGCACGTCAGATTATGTTTTCCCTCTTCATTTTATAGGTGCATCACCCTATGCTCCAACATGTCATATGGTATTTAAAATATTGGTCACTAATTATAGTTTGCAACCACAACATAAATTCAGTCAACAACATAAGGAAAGCAAAAGCATTATCTCACTGGACATTATGCTATGTGTGAACATCCACATATATCTCTATTTTTTGCAGGAAATAAATGCTTAGTTTCACTTCACATTAATAATCTTAGCTATTTCCCTGCAATTTCACTTGAAAGTTAATGACAACTTAAGGACAAAAAGGCCAATTTGGAAGTTTTTATATAATGAGCCTATCATTATCTTCCCATCTTGCAGTCCTTACCTTCTAAAAGTAGGGCAAAATATTTGCTGTACAGTTTCAGATTACAAGGGTCAAAGCATGATTGAAGTAAGTTTGATGTCACAAAGACTTAAGTTACAGCTTGTTTTTACTCCTGGTAGATCAGACTTGGAAAAAAAAAATCACTAGGTTTTTTGTTCAGCCCTTTCAGCAGAAGCACGATTAAATCCAGACACATTTTTAATTTTACTTCAAGTGACTGAAGATGAATGAAATATTTCTATTCACAATTATTGTGCAATTGTGAAAGAATTGTGCTTACCATTTGTAAGTCTCTTATCACATCAAGACACTTTGTGATCTACTACAGGCTGAATTCAAAGTGAGAATTTTAGAAAGTAATGCTTAACTCAGAATGTCCAGTCTGGTCTCCCAAGACTTCTAACAGACTCCAAAGCACGCTGATCCTGCTATCCAGGAGGCTTGCAGGTATCTGCTAGAAAGTACAATTCAGCCAGCAGCAAACACTTGCATATCAAGATAGCTGCCAGTGCGCATGGAGACTTTCAATTCCTTACCATAGCTCTTTGAACAGTGAATTCCCTAGAAAGTTCCTCTTCCAGTATATTTGAAATAAGAGTTAAATATTCATACGTTTCAGGAAATGCAGAAAGGATCATCTAAAATAAGTTTTAATCAATCTGAGATTTGACATGACACTATTAAACAGAACATTGAAATGAGTTCAAGTTATATTTAGAAATGTAAATAAATTCTCTCTTCTGCTCCTGTTCTGCTCCCTTTTCATGCTTTTTGCCCAATCTTCCTCTTCATTCTTTTTAGCATTTTTATTTCATTCTCATCTACCTCGTTCCATGATACTGCCCACCAAACCCATTCTGTCCACATTACGAAAGATGATTATTTTTAGTCAAACACACATTTATATCTTCGATATATATTAAGTGAATGATTTAAAGATCCTGCAGAAAGGAGTAAAGAACCATGGTTACCAAATTTCCTTTAGAACTCCAATGATATCTATTCAATGGCACATTTGTATGCAGTAAGTATAAAATGAGAAGGGCCATAGACTCTGGGTTGTTGGAGAAGCATTTTGGTGACTGGTTGGTAACATTTGCAAGTCACTCTTGCATGGCATACTTATAAGGCAAGTTAAATTTGAGGCAAAATCCAAACTGAGCTTGCCCAGTTACAGGTTTCCCAAAGCACTGGCAATGGTTTACTTGCATAGTGTTACATCAGCAATTTCTTCTTCAGCCTCTCTCAAATGTTATCACAAGCAAATGGTTATGCTTCTCAAGCATCTGTTTGATAACAACTTCACTTAGTTCCAGTCACAAGCAGCAATCATTCAAAGAAAAACATTTTAAATATAATAAAAGATTGGATAATGTAAAAGTGACTCCTCCAGTTTCAATATATAAATCTCCTAGTAACAACCAAATTATTTCAATCAACACATGCATCTAATACAAGTTCAGGATTAGTTCCTGTGACATTCATTTTAGTAACATCCAACTTGCTCTCAAGCGTGACTCTTCATTCCACTGTGAAAAGCCTTTCAAAGAAACAACCCTAGTTCATCATTCAAATGCATGTTCAGAAGTTCAGAACATGAGGGAAGCATTACTAGATACCTACAGCTTCCCACTTCATACACTGAAGTATGAACTCACTGAGAAACCCAAAGTATGTTTCTAGATACTTCTTTCAGCTGCTGCTTTTTTGCGAGCTGTTTCTATTCTCCTTTTCTGGAATTTATTTTAGCTGCATGTGTCCATCTCTGCCAAACTAAAAACTAATGCCTCACATTAGCATTTAGTAGTAAGTTTTAAAAAGTCATTTTCAAAACAATCAAGCTCTTAGTCAAGCATAGAGTTTCTCATTTAAAATTTAATTTACCTGAAGACAGGTTTAACCATGAAGATTCTTTTGTACCTCAATAAATCAAAACCCAAGACCCATGAAATGCTGTACCGCTTCTTGGTTTGAAAATGCATGTTTGCATGAGCAAACATTGTGGGGCAGGGGGAGAAAAAAGTTACTGAACTGCCTCTATTCTGCTCTTTATTAACAAATATACTTAAAACACATTTGAAGATATTTTTGTGTACTGTTTCAGTTTGTTCTTAACATTGGAGCAGCTGAATCCAGGGAACTCCATGGCTTCTTCATGAAACAGTATGTAAAAGTCATTCTGCCTTCCATCTGATTGTGATTCATCTCAATTGACATCTGACTTCATCTTTTTGCATTAAAAAAGAAACTAACATTGCACCGAAAATGAATGTATACATTATGTTATAGCTTACAATAGGTGAATCTTTTCTTACCATGACTCAGTCATGATATTCAAGGTACTAACAGCTGATGCCCTATCTCTCTGCTGCAAATTACAATACTCTCCACAGGAAGTCCATGTTTTCCTCTTCAGAAGAACCTACTCTTTTTGAGCTGAAGAGTTGAAAATACTTAAAAAAAAAAAAAAAAGCAGCAAGGGTTAGGCTATCCCTGCAAGTATCTTTCACTTTAAACTGCAACTCCAGTCACAGGCATTTCTCTTAGCATTCAACTGAAACATTATTATCCACCAGTTGTTGCCAGCCGAGAATCTGCACTGGAAAGCTTGAACCTGCAGCAGCAAATGTGAGAGAGATACCTAATTCGGTTATCTTCTAGTGTTTCTTTCCCACAAAAAACCTGGCAACACAGCTTGTCTGTGGAATTCAGAAGTGGTATGGCCCAAGACTTGTCAGCACAACTCTGATGAGTGACCAGATGGTCCACAAATAAAAACCAAAGGCTCACAGCAGTATGAGAACCACATTGCTCAGAACTGTGTGCTGTCAGGTCTTAAAGGTCTCGAGGTATGGAGACTCCACAACCTCCCTGAGCAACTCATTTCAGTGTTTGACAACCCTTATATAAAAAAGGATTTCTTTCATTTAAACAAAATTTCCTGTGTATCAATTTGCATCCACTGCCTCTTGTCTATTCACTGGGTACCACTGGTTTAATCTTCTTTATTCCCTCCCATCACGCATTACCTACATTGATAAGATCCCTGTTGAGTCTTCCATCCACGCTGAACAGTCCTAGCACCCTCAGCCTCTCCTTGTATGACAGATACTCCAATCCCTTCACCACCTTCATGGCCATTCACCTTCTTGAACTAGGGAACCCAGAATTGGACCGAGAACCCCAGATGTGGTCTCACCACAGCTGAAGAAAGAGCAAGGACTGACCTGCTGATGACCATCCTCCCAATGCAGCCTTGGATGCTGTTGGCGTTCCTTCCACAAGGGTGTACTGCTGGCTGATGTTCAACTTGGTGTCCCCCAGAACCCCCAGTCCTCCTCTACCAAGCTGCCTTCCAGCCAGTCAGTACCTGATCTGGTGCATGGGATTATTTCTCCCCAGGTGTAGGATTCGGCATTTCTCTTTGCTGAATCTTAACAGGTTCCTCTCAGCCCATTTCTCCATCCTGTCAAGATCCCTCTGAATGGCAGCACACCCACGTACTGTATCAACCGCTCCTTCCAGTCTTGTATTGTGTGCAGACTTGCTGAGAGGACACTCTGTCCCACCAGCCTGGTCACTAATGAAGATATGAAACAGTATCAGCCTGTGTCAAACTCTGGTGTTCATCACTAATGACTAGCCTCCAGGCGGATTTTGTGCTGCTGATCACAACAGTGTGAGCTCCACAGCTGAGCCACTTTTCAGTCTACCTCACTGTCCAGTTATCTAGCCTGAACTGCAACAGGATGGTTGAAGCACTATACGAGCACCATGGATGGTAAACACGGGGCTTCCTCAAGTTGTCTGAAGACCTACTAATTCTTCTCAATCAGACTGTTTGTAGCAGATATCCATAACAATATTGCCCATGTTAGCCTGTCCTGACCCAGAATTTCTCAACTGTTTCATCATCCACCCCCAGGCAGAGCTCCATGCACTGCCACTGCTCTCTTACATAAAGGGCAACTATCCCTCCTCACCTTCCCAACTTACAATTACAGAATCATAGAATGGTTCAGGTTGGAAGTGAAGGTACCTTTACAGATCACCTAGTCCACCGCCGCTGCCACAGGCAGGGACATCTGTCACTAGATCATTATTCGTCACTGGTTTCCACTTGGACATTGAGTCATTGACAGTAACTTTTTGGGCATGGCCATCCTTTCTTATTTCTTATCAGTCAATTTCTTATTCATCTAAGAGTCCATTCGTCAAATCCATATGTCTGTAATACAGCAGCAAAGAATGCTGGGGGAGTCCTTACAGAAGTCTATGTAGATGACATCCACAGCTTTTCTCTTGTCCACTGATGCTGTTACTCTATTGTAGAAGGCCACTAGATTAGTCAGGCACAATTTGCCCTTGATGAAGCAATATTGACTGTCTCTAACCATGTCCCTGTCTTCCATGTGTTTTGATGTGTCTTCCAGGAGGATCTGTTCCATGATCTTACCAGGCACAGAGGTGAGGCTGACTGGTCAATAGTTCCCAGGGGCCTCCTTCCTATCCTTTATAAAAACTGGCATCCTTCTTTTAGATGAATCTGATTACCGAACATAATTACTTCTTTACAAAATAATCCCTTTCCTATAGGAATCACAACATGTGTATGTGCCTGTAATGGGATAGGTGGGATGGTAGTTATCTTCACTTAGAAGCAACCCAAAAATAAAGGGCCATTAATGCATGCTTTTAAACTACATGCAGTATTAGTCACTGAGTTTGTGACATTTTCTTTAGTATTTCTAGGTCCTGAAGTATCGACATCAATCAAACAACACTAAACAAAGAGCACATCTCTTTTTCCTGCCAATTGTAATCATCCTGCCCAAAGCGTTAAGCTACAGCCTTCCACATGTAGGACACTAAGAAAAACAAGACCCTCTAAGAAGTTTACAGCAACAGGAAGAATTCACCTTAACACTCTGCAAAAAAAAGTACTATGACTTGGATCTAGTTCCATGTTACTGAGACTCCCCATTACTGAAAGAAGAGAAGCTCATCATGGATGCTTTCCCCCCCAGCCCCCTTCCAGTAGGGCAGCACCTCTAATAGCAGTTTGCAGTCACAAGCATAAAAAATTCTCACATTTCCATCTGCAGCAATTTTGATTTCATAGAATCACAGAATCGTAGGGTTTGGAAGGGACCTCTGAAGATCATCTGGTCCAACCTGCCTGCCAAGGCAGGGTCACCTAGAGCACATTGCACAGGAAAGCATCCAGTTGCGTTTTTAAGGTCTCCAGAGAAAGAGACTCCACAACCTTTTTGGGCAGCCTGTTCCAGTGCTCTGTCACCCTCACAGTAAAGAAATTTTTTCTCATGTTGAGGTGGAACTTCCTGTGCTGCAGTTTATGCCATTTCTCAGTTTATTTAATTTCTCAGGTAAAAGCTACAATTGGCATTAAGCTGCTCCCAGACAAAAATAAAATGAAAGTGCAAATACAAGCCAGAAGCTGGTAGAAACTTCAGTCTGCTTCACCAGTGCTTGCAGGAATACTGTCAGATGGAGCTTTGTGTTGGAATTTTCAGTAACACAGCCATATCCTGAACTCCTGAACTCCACCAACAGGGGAAGTTTCCTCACTTGACACAGCTGGGCTAATTGAGGAAATCCATGCAGAAAAAAAATAACAGAATAGATGGAGTACGAGTCCTGCTATTGACATGTTGCTACCATAAGCAGCATTTGTTTTGTTAGACTCCTGGGCAGGTTTTAATTATGATTAGAAGCCATGACGTTGAAAGATAATTAATTCTTGACCTACAATGATCATGTTGCTAAACTTTATGTTGTTATCCACTTTAATTAGTCATAGCTGTAACACAGCTCTGCATTCTTATCCAATTATTTTAATGATTCAACAGATTATAAATCAAGTGACAAGGACTTCAAGCTTCACAGTCACTTTAAAACAACACCACCTCACATGTCCATGCTAAAATATTCTCCTTCATCTTCTGACTCAATTTTTTCTTTTTTTCACATAATTATCATATTAACTTGCTTACTTATATTGCAGTTTGTATCATGCTTCCTAACAGAATACTACATTTTGCTAGGTTTGGCTTATTTTTTCCACTTGTTTTTTATTCTTTTCTCCAAATACACACACACACACATATATATATATATGCACACGTATCTGTGTTTTTAATAAGCAACTTTGCGGTTCTCTAGGTTCTCACTCCAAGTAAATTCACACATAAGAATGAATTAAAAAGATAACTTCACCTAAATTATTTTCCAGCTTTACTTGAAGCATCTTTTTATTTAAACTAGAAAATTCACTCTGTTGTGCTATTCTTCCAGATAGCTCAGGATCAGTGCCCTATGTAGGATACCCCACAAATAGCAGATATGAAACCATTGGGATTTAACTATACTGGCAGTTCTACTTTAACCTTACTCTTTGATCATTATTTCTGCTCTTTTGCCTACTAGGAGTAGTACTGGCCATTAAAAAAAACTTTATTCAGAGGCAGTGTGCCAGAGTAGGTTACAGTAAAGACTGAACTCCGCATCATTTCTCTGAACACTGCTCTCAACTGAATGGCTAATTTGCAGTGCCATGCTATACTCTTGAACTTAAAGTCTAAACTGTGTTATAAACAATCTTCTTTTGTATATGTAACTTTTTTTTTAGCTGATTTACCTTTTTCATATGCAGGTGTATTCTCTTGCAGCAGTCTGCTAAGCTGGAACCCATTCAAGTGCACAAAACGTAGTTGTTCTCTCATTGTCTTGCCTCCCACAACTGGCAATATAAGGTTCCCAACACTGTTTCTTGAAATTGGTAGACCAAGACCTACTGCCAATGTGCTAGCTAAATCAGTTTGTTGCACAAGTTCAGGATGGGTTAGAGGACCTAGAATCAAGAAAACAAGGAAAAATTGAAAAAAAAGAGAGTGCAACAAATTATTTCAATAATAGGCCCATTCTCTTTCTCCAGAGAGAGATGACATCTTGTTAGCTGAAAACTAACAATGAAAAAAAACCTATTTCAAGTGACCTACAGAGAGCTGAGTGATTTTGTTCTGCTGTAATAAAACCAAAATGCATTCAATTCTCAGCAAGTACCACTCTTCAATGCTAGCAACTGCTGTAAACACAACATCAATGTTATGCAAGTACAAGTAAGAAAAGACATGGTCCAGGAGATCACCATAATACCAACTTGAAGCTTACAGCCTAAGAGAGTATAATAACTTTTACATTAGAACAGAAGAAAGGAGAGAAGGCACTACAGTAGACTAACTTAATGCATGAACAAAGAATGAGAATCTAAAATAATGCTGACAGCATTCTGGAAGATTCTCAATATAGTAACAACAGCTCAAGATTTAATTAGTATCAGCTTGCTAGTCAAACAGAATTAGAGGTCAGATAAAGAATGTTGAGGCCCAAATCCATGGCTCCATGTAGGCAAACCCAGTGATTTTTAATGGGTTCTGTGCAGGATCTAATTACTTTATTGCAGTTACCAGGATTAGTCTGCAGTCCCACAGACATCTACATACGTGAATGATTTCACTAATGTAAGTAACCTTTTGTTTAAGATTGTCTTGCCAATTGTTTCTTTGTGTGCTTTACTAGTTATATTACAGTGTTTTTCTATTATGCTTTTACTTTGTTCTCTTTGTAACTCCGGGCACCGAGTGTTTTGATTTATGTGCAGTACAGAAAGAATTCTATATACAGTCTTTATTACTCTCAAGGCTCCCTTTAAGAACATTAGAACTTCTCTCATTTCTCATCTAGCTCTGATTAATCCCATACTTGCATGGAATGTCATCTATAATCCCTAAAGCCTCTTTGCATGGGTGCCTGTATGTCAGCAGTTTTCAGATTTCATCTTTAAAGGCAAGTTCTTAACTGGTTAAAAAAAGCCAACCATGGGTGACACATCTCTGTAGAAGGTTCCACAAGTAATACTCTGACAGCATACTAAATGCAAAAGCCCACAGTATTACTATTTTGAGGTCTACCAAATTAACAACAGTACATTTTGTTTACAGTAGGATCATACGGAGCGACTGCTCCTAAAATGTTTCTGCTTTACTAGAATTCCGATTACTGTAAAAATGAGAAGCAAGCTGCTGCATATTTACATGGGAATCATTAGAAATCACAAACTCAATCCCAAAAGACAGGTGAATAGATATATTTCACTGTATTGTAAAAACTGCACATTCTGTTAAAACCTAACAGAAACTAAACCAAATGAACAAGAGATTGCATTTACAGAATCTACACTCATGTGGCCTGGTTGTCAACACACACAGCTGAAATTTATCACGCAAAAACTTACCTGAGAGCTTTGGTCAGCTCTTGACTTTGTTTTGGTTTTATATCTGAAAAGGTTCAATGACTTCTCAAGCAATGCTTTCTATTGTACCTGGATAACAGCTTTATAAATGACAGACAGATAAATGTACTTCAACTGTCCTGCAGGAACCATCAGCAAGACAAACACGGCAAGGTTCTGCCAATAGGCTTTAAAAGCAAAGATATCAGATGGAAATGAGCAAGAGGCAGAATGAAAGGCAGAGGGAAGTATTATTTTGAAGAAAATATTCACTCCCAGTGCAACTACATTTCACCAATTCACTCAGTCAAGGAATATATTTAAGCAAGACTCCATAAATTAAAGATTCTCCACCACACCATTCCCTTCTTGCCTCTTACCTTAAGCGACATTATACAAGTGAAAAATGAGCGTCAGAAACAGATAAACTCACATCAATGATTTAAAATTAATTGCCTGGCCAATACAGTAAATACACCCATGCTCCATT